ACTTTGCCCTACTAGTGGGTAGGTACATAATAAGATATCTTCAGTGTGTGACTAGTGGAGAAAACAAATGGTGAACAGTTAATTGAGAAGTATCCTTTTTTTTCCTCTTAATTAGCTACTTGTACTGCCTGTCACTTCATTTATAGTTTATCATTTGTACCTAAGCCTTCTGTAAATTAGATTTGAACTCTACGCAATCAGATTGTAACTTGTGAGTTTAATTGCTAACATCCATCTCAGGATGTCTTATCCCAGAAGTGTTCTATTGCAAAATAACAAAAAGGTTATCGGTTTAATTCAAGGTTTTTAATGTCACTGGTCATCATGAAAATACATGAATAAATCTGCTCACCGATTAAGAGATGACATTATAATAATTGTATTAAAGCATGAATGTCATAAAACTGCAATATGGAGTAGAATGAATTATCCAATATTATAGTATATGTGGCTGTGGTCACTAAAGATTGTATTGTTTTGTTTTAATCATTTCCAGTTTCCAATTCAGGACAATCAGGTACCTTGCCCATGTGAGAGGTCTTTGTAGTCCTAAAAATAATAAACCTGGTTGGAGGTACACAAGAGTGATCGACCACATCATATAAAAACTTTATGACAGGTTGTTACTATACCCTGCCTACACAACCAGCCGCAGTGGTATCACCAGAAGCTGTCACAACCTCTTGATGTTGCATTCTACTGTATGTACTATTACTCACAATGCAATGAGCGGCCATTGATGGGTAGAGAGATTGAGATAATGCTTTCATTCTACCACCATTCACCAATGCCAACTTTCCTGATCATTGACATGGACAAGTGGAAGAGACTGGAGACAGTCTTTTTAGGCACAACTTTGCTGTTAAACCATTCAAAATGGTTTTACACCCTAAGGTAAGACAGTGCCTATTGACTATAGGCACTACACAATAATGCCTTTGTAACTTGCCTACATATAAAAGTGCCAGAGGAAACCGGACAGTCAGATTCTGTGATTATCAAGTTAAATGGTTGCAATCAAACTATATACATAGGCTTGAGCATGGCGATGACATTAGTTTTGGCAAACCCGTGGTAACATAAAAAATAATATTAGTTTTGGGAAACAAATCAGATGAACCAAAAGGGAGAAAAAATGGGCCAGCCAGTGTACAGAAAAAAATAAAAAAAAAATAAATAAAATATATATATATATATATATATATATATATATATATATATATATATATATATAAATATTATGTATACATTTTGCAGTACAGTGATAGGAGCATTTCCTGCCTTTTGGTTTAAAGACCAAGTGAATTAAAGTAACCAATAGAGGGAAAAAGAGAAAGAGCAGTGATCAATCATTATTTCTATATTGTATTTTTATTAAATATATTATATATCTATATAAAAATATATTTTTAATGCTGATGATTTTTTCCTATATAAAACATTTAGTTAGTCTCGTAGCCATCAATCATCTATTTTCCACATCAATCATCTCTTTTTTGCTGCCACAGGCAGAATTTAGAATCACAATTCAAAACAAACATGCTTGGTCATTGCACGTTTCGTTTGGTTTATGATTCGTCTACATTTTGGCTTGGAATTCGGGAATTTGAAAGAGCACATGTTCGGCCCAAATTTGAGTAACTTGCAGTTTAGAGTGAAACAAATCTCCAAGTCTACATATCACTAGAAATTGAAAACCAGTGTAGAATCCCATTATGATTGTTACACCTTGCCTGCGTTCCTATGTTCCGTTAGTTAGATCACAGGGCTTATAAGTGGAAGTCATTGTAAAGAGAGCAGAGGAGAAAAGCGCAAACACATGGAGGTGTAATAGAAAGGCTTACAGGGCAACATTTTTATTAAAATCACTTTTTTCACATACACACATGATCTTTGTAAAGGACAGCAGATGGCAGGAGGTAAGCAGCTTTCCCTAAGGTGACAGGCATACAAGTGTCAATGGCATGTGATGGGTAACCCATGCAGAGATGGCTGCAGTATTCACATGCTCCAATGGTTGATGAGGAGGGCAAAATGTGCCACAACATAAAGCTGCTCTGTTTAAGACTGTATTAGTACATGCAGTGAAAATTAATGAATTCTGTTTGGCACGGAGAAGTCCAACATATCTGCAATTAAAGGTGAAGGGGCAATTAACAGTGCATGTATCACCAGGAGGCTTTTTTTCTACCCCACACAACAAGTTAGACCCAAAACAGCACCATCTATTACTATAACGATGAATAGATCAGCTACAGTAAAAGCAGTTAATAGAGAACAAACATCATTGGATTTTCTAAATCCACACCACTGACATAGCATTCCTTCTTTCCACAAGCTAGTCTTGGAAGAAAAAAAAATAGAGTGTCGTGTAGAGCGGCTACAAAATCAGCTAGTTGTTTAAAGGTTATTGCAACATCAACAAAAAGCAACTGAATGGATGCAGGGGCAGCAACTTTAGAGGCAAGAATTGTCTCTTCATTTGATCTAACATTATTATTATTTATAAAGCACCATACTAAACAAGACGATAGACATACAAAAAGAGAAGGAACTGAGGATTTACTCAAACAAGCTTATATTATAAGGGGAGTGTGTCATGATTGGTCACAGGACCCTCAGCAAGATGAGAGAGTCAGCAATGCTAACAAGGCAAAGACTGAAAGATAAAATGTCATATCACCGGATCTTAGACTGGCCAGGCTTACATAACAAAGAAAAAATCAGCAAGTAACAGGATTACACTAAAAAAATACTTCAGGCGAGAGAGGAATACAAATATTAAAAAATAAACAAAACGGTGTACAGGAAAAAAAAAATAAACAAAAAACATCTGTGCCAACAAGAGCAAACAGTATAACAGTCAAAGGTCAGGATTTGGTTTTGGCACACAAATAAGGTAGTCATGCAAGCCAGGTAGGATACACAAATACAGAAGATCAAGAATAGTCAAAGGATATGCCAGGTCAAAAACAGGAACTCAATTCAGAAAAAATGCACTAAAGGGCTGAGAAATCCCAAAAGGGCCCAGAGCAGCCAGAGAGTCCTCCTTAAATGGGACGATACTGTAGATGATTGGCTCTGCTTCCTGTTATAAATTAGCAGAGAAAGGCACAGGTGCCCCACAGAACAATCAATGCAATTCAAGCAGGTGAGAAGCAACCAGGAAACCCGCTGGAATCTTTCCAGGACAACAGGCCCCACAATTGCACAGTGAGCAGAGTGGCACAGTTCCACCAGTGATAGGTTTCTTGGCAGAGTGAGATACAATTGCACAAAAGCTAAGGGTGTATTTTGTGTAATGGAAAAGTAGGTTGCTAAAAGAGTTTACAATGAAGGGTTAATTTATTAGATTACATATTTGGTGGAATAGTGAGGTGTGAGGAGGGGAAGCTGTTAACAGTTTAATTGATATACATTCTTTTTGAAGGAAGGGAGATTGGGTCAGAGTCTAATAGAAAAGAGAAGAGAGTTAGAAAGAAGCAGCACAGCTCTAGAGAGTTCTTGAAGGCGAGAGTCAGAGAGGTACGAGTATCAATCTATATCTGGGGCTCCCCTCTGTCAGCTTTTTAGTGGCCCTGGGCTAACAAATGTGATGTTACAGCACTCAAAGTGAGCACTGCAAAAAGCCTTTACAACATGGTGTAAGCAGCTCCACACAAGCCCATACCAAAGAGACCCAGATTCAATACCTGGGATTCCCCTCTGCCAACTGGGACCACATTTATCGGCCCCAGATTGATGAATGATCTTTATGTAGTGTACAAAGTGAGCATTGCATAAAACCCTTTAAATTTCTTGAATACACGTGACTGTGACTGAGTAATCAGGCTCAGCTGCGGTGATTCTGGGCACTCAGATGCTCAGGGTCTGAACAGATCCTGACAAGGTATCCCAGCAGGGCCCCATGCTGATTGTGATCGGTGCTGTGGTTGACATTGCATGACTGGCATGACTAAGGAACATCTGACACTTTTCAGAGACTTTTCCAGGCACACCCTGACTTGGAGGAGATTGTTTCGACAGGTCACAGCAGCTCCGAGAGCACTCTATTACCTATAAATGGGGTCCCCATTGATTACTGGCAGATAAGGATGGCGAAACGCACCCTTTGGTACACCTGTCAGAAGTGCCGACCTTCCTCAGGTCTCTGGGCATACTGGCAGAAGGGATACCCACAGCAGCAGGCCCATGTTGGTCTGTGGGCAGCATCAACCTCTTTGTTCCCAGCAGACCAGGACTAAGTCCATCTGTCTTACCCACCTGAATATACTGCTGTTGAGATTTGTGTTGCAACTTCATGTTCTTCTTACCAATGTTTGGTTTAATTTTTAATTTTAACTGTATGCTTAGTAAATAATTCATCTGTTGAGATAACTTTATTTGAGGTACCTATGCGCCTGGCTCTCTAAGCTGCTACACCCTGCCTAATTTATAGCCCCCTTCCCCCCTCACTACTTGGACGCATACTGACTCCTTTCAAGTCTACAAGCAATATGTGACAGGTCCAGAAGCCAACCTAGCCCTACCGCCCACCAGCCCTCCATTCATAAGGTCCTAATCTATAGATAACAAACAAGCTTAAGCTCTTTAAACTAACCGTGCCTTAAACTAAGACAATTTATGACATACTTTATACATTTACTTACACGGGCGCTTTAAGCTCACAACAAGCAACCTCCAGCCCATAATCTAACTACACTATGGCTGAGATAGGAGAGATTTAAGCTCATCTAACATTTAAAAATTGGGTCTATACATTAATTGTGATATGGTCCATGCTATCATGTTTACCTATTGATTGATAACTTTTCTTCACACAATGTACCGCTAGAGATGTCGCGAACCGTTCACGAACTTCCCGCGAACGGCTCGCCGCGAGCTCCGGTCAGCTGACACATCCAGGCCAATCTCCAGCAGACCCTCCCTCCCAGACCCTCCCACCTCCTGGACAGCATCCATGTTGAAGCTGCCTGGAGGGTTGTGGCGAGCTCCGGTCAGCTGACACATCCGGGCCAATCTCCAGCAGACCCTCCCTCCTAGACCCTCCCACCTCCTGGACAGCATCCATGTTGAAGGCAGCTTCAACATGGATGCTGTCCAGGAGGTGGGAGGGTCTGGGAGGGAGGGTCTGCTGGAGATTGGCCCGGATGTGTCAGCTGACCGGAGCTCGCCACGAACGGTTCGTGGCGAACCGCGGCGAGCCGGTCGCGGGAAGTTTGCGAACGGTTCGCAACATCTCCATGTACCGCAATGTTTATTCTTGCCCGCAAAAATAAAGAGTTTAAAAAAAAAAAAAAAGACTGGAGGGAGGAGAAAAAAAAAGAACCAAACCTCCAATTCCAATTTAATTCAATGCAATACGTTTAGGTACCTTATAACATGTAAAAGTTTGGAAACTTAATTTATGTTCCCTAATTTATGAAATATATAGGACAACATTTAAGATAAAGTATCTTGAATACATTGGTAAATGATGCCTTTATGTATTATTCATTCTCAACATTATTGGGTGTCATTACGTATTGCTTCTAATGAAATTGGAATGAGAGGCTTGGCTCTTTTTTCACCTCCCCCCAGGATGTTTAAATACACTGTGGATGATTTATTCAACTTATATTGACAAAGCGTCTGTTTTAGAGACAAAATGTGTTCAGTGTCCTTCTAGATTTTGTTTTGTTCTTCATCCTCCTTTCATACAGGTGTATGGATTTGGGTTTTTGTATTATTTTGTGTTTTGGTGTTTTCATCACCTGGTCCATTTTCGCATGCAAGGTCTGCAGCCAGCAACAGCACCACATTAAGTAAGTGGCATTGTAAAGCATATGTGGGAAGTTTAGATGAGTAAGAGACCTTTATCTACACAAACACCATCACAAATAGCTATACAACGTTTGAACATTGTCAAGAGGAAACTAGTTTCATCACTGGAATGAGATGGACTATACAAAATATCATACATGAACCATGAGGAGAAAGAAATTCCTATACCCACGCCTATACTTACAAAGGGTTGCAAGCCTGAATCTCTGCGCCAAGATGGCATAACAAAATCGATAAGAAAGATGATCATAGAAAAGCTAGGAGTCCTTGACCACTGGACTAGATTACCAAAGATCACTGGAAAACTGCCACCAGACAGTATGCTAGCAGCAGTTAATGAGTCAATGTCCACAATTCCATACAACACCATCACAAAGACCAACAAGCTCATACGTGCCACAGCATCATTTGCCCTCCAAATGCTTGACAACAAGATTAGTCTGAAGGGGAAACAATGCACACCATAGAGACTAACACTGGAAGCCAAGATAATGGCAACATGTAAGGAAGTTAGTAAGCGGAAACGCATTCACAGAGGTGGGAAGATCAAGAATAGATTCTGAAATACAAGGGTATGCACATACCAGAGGCACTGAAAACAGCTAAGCAAAGGCTGACAGTACTGGCAACCAGACTGAGCAGATACACAGAGAAGCAGAGACTATGTGAATAAATATCCTGTTTACCAAATAACCATCCAAGGTTTATACACAGCAATAGGGTAAAAACAACATATCCACCTAAGACCAACCTGAAGCAGAGACTAAACAGTACTAGAAGAATATCTGAAAAAAAAAAAAGCATCTCATAACACCAAGGCCCAGTGACTACAAGTGAAAACCGAAAGAATATACACACACACACTAGGATAAACAAAATTATATACATAAAAACTAGAAGTGTTCCCAGGTGTACATCACAGACACCTATTATACAATAAAAGCAAAGAAAAGTGGAGAAAAAAAACACCCAGTATACGTATAAAACATTTGTATTGTATACTTTTCATATACACACTTTTTATTATTTGTTATACATATATATATATATATATATATATATATATATATATATATATATTTATTCTCTCATGACACACAGTACGTCAGTTGGATTCATCATTGCCTTCTGATACTTTTGGTTTCCTGATACTATTCGTCTATTCTCGTATATGTTTAAGGCAACTGTTCGTCTATTTTTTAGGTTTATTCCCTGTTTAGATTGCGTGTGGTCCATTGCTGTGCGTGCGCATGTTGTTTCTCTGCCGAAACATGCGCACCTGCAGTGTCCACTTGTATTTGAATGCTATACTCATATGAAACATCATGGCACCCATCCTACTCCTGGTCGCACGGAATACATGCCTTTGCGTTCCACAGTGGAACGCACACCATCAGGTGAAACAGAGTCACTGGAACAAGCAACACTATAAGAAATCCCCGCCACGGTGAACCACTACAGATCCCTGAGGAAGTCCCCAATTTGGACAAAACACGTTGGACTTTATAATATTTGGACTTTTATCAATTGTATTTTATTTTGTTTTTAATTGTCATCATCCTGCTGCTGTTGGTATTTTTTTTTAGATCTACCACGCTGCTGCTACATTCCACCTTGTGTGGAAATATGCTTATGCCTCTATACCTGTCTGTAATTAATAAATAAATTCAAGTTTTAATTTTACTTCACCATGTGCGGTCTCTTTCCCTTATCCATATAAGGAGTTTCATCATTTGAAGACCTTCTACTTTCCTGATTCGTTTAACCCCTGGTGGGGTGAGAAGCCTGTTTTCAACACATGTTTGTGAGTTTTCTATGAACACCACATACTTCTATTTAATTCTAACTGTACTACGCTATGTCTTGTTTGTGTTTATTATTATTATTATTATTATTATTATAGATCTCCATTTGATCTACTTACCCTGGTCCCCATTTCCAGGTTGTCTTTTTACATTTTATATACGTATACTGGGTGTTTTTCCCCCACTTTTCTTTGCTTCCAGTGACTACTAGACCTGAAAGCAGACTGTTCCCAGAACAGTAGCCAGTTTCATCACAGTGGGAGATATCCAACAATAGCCCACATGAAAACTTGGTCAACCCCAGAACCTTAAATAATCCACACCTACTGGATAAAGAAACGATCAATGCTGCATGAACAGGTAGCAGCACAAATGAACCATCTACTAGAAAGAGGTTCCCACCCTGACTGACTAATACAAGGCAGAACAATACTGGTTGTGAGTGACCCTCACGAGGGAACAACACCATGTTACTATGAACAAATCACCTACCTACCCACAACATGGAAGTCCTGTCAGGTTTTATAGCCTCCAAGATCGATGGGCATATGAGTCAGTACATGAGCAATACTCAAAAAGGGATTAGAAACAACACCAGAGGGTCAAAACACCAACTTGTGTACAGACTGGACTGACTACAACAAAATGCCACACAAATGGATACTGGAATGCTTGGCTCCACACAAGGTCTGCAGGACACTGATAAACTTAACACCAACAGTTGAAAAACATCTCTAGAAGCCAATTACAGGACAATAACATAATAAGAATTCCATAAATTCAAAAACCTTGCACGCATCCGCCCCTACTTAATGCAAGATGCGACTATGGTGTTGGTCCATTCCACTGTCCTTTCTCGCCTTGACTACTGTAATCTGCTTCTCAGTGGTCTTACGTGCTCCCAACTTGCGCCGTTACAGTCCATAATGAATGCAGCGGCGAGGCTCATCTTCCTGTCCGCCCGCACCTCCCATGCCTCACCCTCAGGGCTGTCTTTAATACTATTTGGACCCTGGGCAAGCATTGGCTTGGGCTCCCTGGACCCTGTCGTCCCCTCCTTGGCATGCAATCAAGCCCCCTACCCCAACGCAGAGGAGGACGTAAAGTTGCAAGGGCTCTGGTGCATTAATTATTTTCCGTAAGAGGGGGCAAAAGGTAGATCCCCATCTGTCGTGTAACTCCAACAATGCTTTGACAGCTGGGGCTCTACCATTTTCCCATGCATGCAGGATTGTATTTAGCACTAAGCAGTATTTGTGTGTTTGAGTGTAAGCATGTTTTTGTATGGAGTATGTTTGTGTGAATGTCGGGGTGTGTTTGTATGTGGAGATGGCATTTGAATGCAAGCATGCATTTATGTGTAGTGTTGGTTTATGAATGCACTGGTGTGTTTATATATAATTTTGTTGTTTAAAAAAAGAGGTGTGTTTATATGTAGTGTTGAAGTTTGAATGCAGGTGTGTATTTGTGTGTAGTGTTGGCGTTGAATGCTAAGATGTATGCACATATACACCTGCACTGCCACAAACACACACACACACACACACACACACTGTGATACACATACACACACACACACACAGAGAAACACTTGCAGATACACAGATATTATCAATCGTACAGATGCAGCCATACAGACACATTTACACACACTGACACACACACATACAGACACACAACCTGACACACATGCAGACACACAGATGCACACACATGCAGATACACTGACAATATACAGATACACAGACACACACAATGACAACATACAGACACACAGATACATAACCTGACAAATGCAGATACAAACACTGACACACATGCAGATACACACATTGGCTACATACAGATACATGTACAGGTATACACACTGGCATATACACAGATACATACATATTGACAACATACAGATACACACACTGCCACACACACATAAACTGACACACACACTGACAACATACAGATACACACACTGACATGCACACACAAACAGATATACTGACACACAGACACACTGTGACAGACATACTGACACAGGCATACATACTGACACACACACACAGACATACATACTGGCACACACACACACACAGACATACTGACAGACACAGACATACTGTCACACACACAGACATACATACTGACACACACACACAGACATACTGACACTCACACACAGACAGTCTTCAGTTTCCTACCTTTGCAAGAGGCTTCCTTCCCTGGGGTCCCGTGTGGGAGTTGGGGGTCTGGCTCTCCTTGCTCTCCCTCCTCACAGGATGCTGGCTCAGCCTCCCATGCGGCCTGATGTCTTTGACGTGGGAGGAAGTGATTCACAGACGTCACTTCCTCCCATGCTGCCATTAAGCAAGGGGCCCGGTCGCGCTGTTAAAGGGCCACAGCGCAGACCTGACCCCCTTACACTGTGGGCCCACTAGGGAAATCATTTTTTTTTTCATGTGGGCGGCGGGGCCACGGGGCAGCTGCTTTGGGCCCCCCAGGAGTAACTGGGCCCGGGGCAGCTGAAACATTTGCCC